GCATCTGTGATTCAAAATATAAATTATAATCCAAATCAACCCATTTTTAATCAATAACCAATTAATATTCAATAATATAAAGTTAGGTTTTTTCTAATTACCTCAAACCTTTGAGAGATCAAAGATTTACCCCTCATACAAAACACTTCTAAAGCTTCTCACAAGCTTGAATGGTGCCACAATGATTCACACTACAAACACAATACAACAATACCATCATTATCCCATTTGATGAGTTTTTCAACATTAATCTTCACACACTTTATTCTATCAATCCATAAATTTACTACCCATTTATACTTAATTGGTTCACTAGGTTCCATCAATATACATTATCATTGATAAATTTTCAAACCGCCATTAAAGGATATCAAACTCCCCCAACTACATCATTAATGGCAATTTTCATATATTAATGGCTCTACCTAACAAACTCTTAATAAAATCATCAATGTAGAATTTATCTACTATAAACAACTCCCATTATATCTATTTTAACCGATGGGTTCAAGCCCATAGCTCCTATGGACTGAAAATCACCATTAATGCTTAAACCCAAACTCAAATCTCTATAAGTGAGGAAGAGAAGGGAAGAAAGAAGAAACATACACTCACCTTATAAGTTAGGAAGCTCTAAAATATCATCAATAATCCCCAAGGTCATGCTCTAACAGAGCTAAGTGGTGCTCTTCGTGTTTCTCCTTCTTCTTCTCTATTTTTATCTTGTGCAGATACGAACTAGATATATTTAATTTCTGGCCATGCGTTGCGATGTATGCTAACCTTCATCATAGCACATGGCACAGAGAGTTCGTTACATTTAAATCTACCCCTATGGGCCGCAGCAAATTGATCACACACTGCAATATGTGGCATAAAGGGCTTCACCTTACTTTTTCTTCCTCCTTCCTTGCCCCGATGGCCTACCATTAATCTGGACCCACTTTTAGGGCTAAAATCATAATTAATTGCATCAATTAGGCCCATCTGGTTACACACATTATTAATTCATTAATCATACTCATTAAGTTAACTAATCAAGCTTAACTTTTTTGGATATTACAACAACCATTAAAATCATTAATACTAGATTTTAATAGTCTAAAAAACTCCCATTAACTCCATTTGAGTCAATGAGTTTGGACTCATAACCTATATGGATTGAAATCATCATCATCATTCAAACTTTAACTCAAATCCTTGAGAAAGTAGAAAAGAAAAGGGTTTAAGAATCTTAACCTAGATGATTTGAAGCTTCAAACCTTTTCAAATCCTCCCCTAGTTTGTGCCCTAGTAGAGCAAGTACAAATTCTTATGTTTCCCTTTACTTTCCTTCTATTTTTTGCATTAATTTGTGATTTATCTTTGTAAAATTTACACATGTGGTATAGAGAATACAGTTTCTCGCCTTGTGGCCTTGTGCGTCGCGGTGTACCATGCATGCATTGTGGCATATGACACAGAGGCTTTTCAACTTGTTTTTCTTCACTTTTGATCCCCAAGTAACCCAATTTTACTTTAAACCTAAATTGTACCTGAAGTTCCAACTAAAAATACTTATTATTCTCCTCTGATCACACACCACATAAATCTTATTAATGATGCTTGATTACTTAATTATTGGAGGTTAAATTTTCAGGATGTTACATGTATTAACTCTCTTTAGCTCACATTAGTTCCATTAATTATTTCTAGGCTCATTACCAGCTTCCAACAAAGTCTAACCACTATAATAAATGACATTTTTGGCTATTAATACACTTATAATCACCAAAACATGTAAATCCATTATCCTTGGGTTTAAATGTCTTAAGCAACTCTTATTAACTCTATTTGAGTCAACAGGTTCAGACTCATAGCCTATATGGACCGAAAATGGTCTACCATTATCAAACCCTAACATAAACTTAAGAAAATGGGTTGGGAAGGAAGAAGAATAGGTTAGAAAACTTACTTTTAGGATTTGATAGCTTTAAAATGCTTCTAACCTTAAAATTGAAGCCCTAGCAAAGCTTTAAGTCTCATCCTTCTCCTTTTCTCATTTTCTCTTTTATTTTTCTCTGTTTTTTGCATTAGTTTTGTATCTTAATTCTAAAGAAAGTATACCATGCGCCATAACAGCTGTGCCAAACACCATAGTATGTGGTATAGAGAGGGATCTTTGAGTTCTAATTGGCCTGTACATCGTGGCATGTGGCATAGAATCATTCCTCTTTGTTTTTCTCACTTTTTCATGCCTAGGTGGCCTAACTTCACTCCAGACTCAATCTTAAGGCTGAAATCACAACCCAACAACATCTATTAGCTCTCTATAACCATATATCACGTTAATCTTTAGCCTTTCTTAATTATCCGCTACTCCATTAGCAAATTAAACCTAATTATCTTACTAATTAACTAAGAATTATAATTCAAGATGTTACATATCTAATATCCTAAACTATTTGGCGTGGCATTTTTGCCCCTAAAGTAATTAAAAGGTAGCATTCTTCACCCTAACATTAAATAATTGCAAACGTTTGTTAGATAGTTAAACTACCTTCTCTCACATTATATTAATAGTCAACGTCTATTATTTAATGTCAAAGTAAAAAATATCACATTTTAATTACTCTAGGGGCAAAATATTACACCAAATAATTTAGAGTACTGAGTGCTCTTCAAAAAATTATTCAAACGAAAAATGCACCTTTACAATTTTGAAAAAAATAAAAGTTTATATGAGCTGGTCCCAAGCTCATCAAAGACAAGGCATGCTTTCATACTAAAATAACTCTTATAAATATGAGAAAACTCACATTCAAGGACCACTCAAGCAAATTAATCATAGACAAGGACTAACAATAACTTCCAATTTAAAAAAGGCAAATCTACATTCCCATAATAACAATCTATTCTATATTGGTTATTGTCTATAAATAGTTTATTCAAATGCTTCTTGAATGTAATTCTCTCATAAAGATATTTACAAATTCCCCATTAATAGTGTTTTCATATCAAGATTTAATTTCACATTTGGACCAACCTTGGGAAAGTGAGGCTGTTATAACCAAACCAACGATAGGTTTGGTGTAGCCAACCTTTTGCTTCTGAAAAAGTAAGTGCATATAATCCAAACGGAGGGCCGAGAAAAGTTCGAAAAGCTTCAATATGACTGCATGAGACTTTTTTTTTTTTTGAGTGTTTGTTAGACTCACTATGTACTGTTGTTTTATCGCTCTTGGGTTATTGTCGTTCACCTTTGGGTCCTTTTTGATTGTATGTGCACGCAGCAACGTGTGTTGGAATTGCAAAGCGTGTCTGCGTGGGTAATAGAACGTTGTGTCAAATCCTTTTGGGGGCTGACTTCTATTCCTCACTTTATTCATATGACGTCCAAATCAATTTTTCCATTTTAATTATTTATATCATGTTTGGTATTTGGGAATCTCTTTAAAGACCCAGAGACTTGGAAATCTAAAATGAAGATGATTTTTTTTTTTTAGTAAACTAGTCTAAAAGTGTTACTTCCATTTTATGACTTGCACCTTATTAAAATAATAATTAACAAGTAAAATTTTCCAATTTATTAAAAAAAATTGTCATACATATCACAACTCTTGGTTATTATTTATAATTTTTAGTTTTTATTTAAATTTAATTCAATCTTTTTTTCCTTAAATATCATTTCATCTTGATATTTCGACTATTTTCTTCCCTATATTTTTTAATTTCTTCTTCCGCATACTCCAACCACAAATTAAGCTCGAGAGCTACTTAAGCTTAATTATACGAAGAACGTGGCGGCATATAAATTAAATTGCCTTCAAACTATTCTTCTCTCACACAAAACTTATTTCAGTTTGACATGATAATGATCACGGAAGCTTGTTTCTCAATTTTTTTTTTAAATCCTTAACAACTCGCAATCCAATTGATCAGTTGCTCTTCAAAGAAAAATAATAAGTCATTCAAAATACGCACCTTATTAATGGAGACTTTTCTTTGTTGAGCTTTTGCATTAATTCATATATTTCTCTAATTGTATTTATAAATCACTTTTAACATGTTTTATTAGAATCAAGGTAACCCTTAATACTCATTAACTCTATTTAAAAATTTAATGAATTTTGAATTTTGCCTTTATCAAATACTTATTTTAACAATATAATTTTTTCTCTAGCATTCAATGAAGAATAAAAGAAAAAACTTATAATTAAAATTTATTGATATGACTTATAGATAAAACAAAAAAGAAATTCATTCTACCCTATAAATAAGACTAAAGAGAATATATACTAATTAATTCTTATGCCTCAATCATATATATATATATATATATAATCCCCACATGCTTGATATTGATTCAGAATCTAATAAGAAATTAGCATTTTCACTCCACCAGGACAACTCTTTGCCCACTAAATTACTGTTTTTTATTTATTTTATCCAGTCTATATATATATATATATATATAATTTTGAGAACTTATCTCATATCTGCAGATCCAGCTATGAGTTTTTGAATTATGACATATATATTCATTTTCATTTTCCCATGTGTCAGAATGACTGGCACATGTGTGGACCAGTTGTCATCCCCAAATCATACAGGTCAATGATTTTTGAATAGTCAGACTGTTATTAAGGCTTGTCTTGATTCCTTGTATTGCGGCTTTTATCAAATCTTGCTTAAACTAATCTGAATCGTTATTATTTCATATGTAAAAGCGTTATTACCAACGATAACTTTACAGGTACTTTAAAATTTGATATATTTATTTAATATAATTATATATTTTAGAATTTAAATTTCATGTGTAAAATCGTTATTATCAACTATAACTTCACATGTATTTTAGAATTTGATATATTTATTTAATATAATTATATATTTTAGAATTTAAATTTAAAATTTTAATATAAATTAATTCAACTCCTGAACTGTTGATTTTGTCATTGTTAGTCGAACATTGGTACTGTGAAGTCTTTCTTTCTCTCTATATATTCATTCGGCCATTCCAATACTTTGCATTATTGTGAAGAACGAAACCGTACGCCAGTGCTCAGTGATATTAGGGGGAGTTCAATTGGTGGAAGAGAACGTCATGTCGTTTTAGGGAGGACCACCGTCTCTGTTCCCTGATACACCAAAACGACACAAGACATACATATTCATAAATTACCATGGTGGTCGCCAGAGGAAGACCTGTCACCGGTGTCCTTGGGTGGTCGGACATGAAGGGTCTGGCCATGCAGGTGATCGGCAGCCGATGGTTCGTGGTGTTTGCGTCGTTTTTGGTTATGGCGGCGGCGGGAGCCACCTACATGTTCGGCTTGTACTCGCCGGACATAAAATCTGCTCTGGGCTACGACCAAACCACCCTGAACCTGCTGAGCTTCTTCAAGGACGTCGGCGCCAACGTGGGCATCCTCTCCGGGCTGATCAACGAGTTGACGCCGCCGTGGGTGGTGCTGGTGATCGGCGCCGTCCTCAACTTCTTCGGCTACTTCATGATATGGCTCGGAGTGACCCAAAGAATTTCGAAACCCAAAGTTTGGCAGATGTTCCTCTACATCTGCATAGGTGCGTACCGGCGCTTTCATCACCCATCACCAAAATTAGCAATGCTCCTCAATTTTTATTTTTTTTAAATTGTTGTTATCATTTAATCTTGTGAACAAATCAACAAATAAATAGAGTTTCTTTCTTTGTTTGTCATCACAATTTACTAAATCTTTTTTAAAAATTCTTATAATTTTATACTCCAGGAAAGTTAGCATGAATTCTGGATTATGCTTTAAAAAAACGTTAGTTAATATTTTGATTTTTAAAAAATATTCTCGTCTTTCTATTTATATTTTTGAGTGAAATATTTAAACTGCACTTATCAAGTATAATAATTTCATTAAAGCAAGAGTATAACTGTAAAAAAAAAATAAAGCATAAAATTTGCTCAATACCTTATATTTTAGATCATGCAATACTTTTAAAAAATTACTTATATTGTAGTTCAAGAAAGTTTTTTACCACCTTATTTTTAATAAAAACGAAAAGGAAGGGGAAAAAAAAACTTTGGGCAGCTATGGATCGTTTGAATTTATGGCTCACACTCAGGTTTCAACAGCAATAACAATAGATACACCAATAAGAACAAAACCTCTTGACATGGATTGTGATTTTTGTTGACATAAATATGTAGGTCTTGTTTATTTAGTTCCCGTTTTTTATTTTAAAAAATGATTTTATAAACTAAATTTTAAAAATGTAGTTTTTGAATAAAGTGGGATAATGAAACTTTTGATTTTTTTTTTTAAATTTTACTTCAGTTACAACGATAAGCCATCTGGTATCTGAAATTTAATTTTTTTAATCGAATTTTAAAATTTCATGGCTATGCACAGTTAATCTTTTAATGTTATTTCTTCCTCAAAAAAATAATGAATTAGGCATAGTTTTGAAAATTTCAAGACTTAATTAATAAATAATAATTGAGGTTTGACTTATAAGACAAAATTTTCATTATCCCAAATAAAATAAAAGAAAAAATTTGTTTGGCTATGTTAATTTAAAAATCAATTTTAAAATCTTTTTTCAGAGCCATCAACCAATGACAGTATCACATGGTGATGGCCTGTAATAAGAATCCGTTAACAGTGGTTAACGGTGACATCGGTGGCGGTGGCCGGTAAAAACGAGAACACAATCAAACGTGCCTATAATTCCTCTTAATCAATGGTATTTTAATTTGTATTTTCGATCAAAATTAAAAATTGTGATGATGAATCTGGGTTTGCATAATTGCAGGAGCCAACTCGCAGACGTTCGCGAACACAGGGTCTCTGGTAACATGTGTGAAGAACTTCCCGGAAAGCCGAGGCGTAGTTCTCGGCATTCTCAAAGGCTACGTCGGTCTGAGCGGAGCCATCATCACTCAACTATACCACGCCTTCTACTTCGACGACACTAAAGCTCTCATCCTCCTCATCGGCTGGCTTCCGGCCGCCATCTCCTTCGCCTTCCTCCGCACCATCCGCTACATCACCCCGGTCCGACACCCCAACGAGCTCAAGGTCTTCTACAACTTCCTCTACATCTCCCTCGGCCTCGCTGGATTCCTCATGATCATTATCATCGTCCAGAAACAGACCAACTTCAACCAGTCCGAGTACGGCCTCAGCGCTGCCGTCGTTCTCTTCCTCCTCTTCCTCCCCCTCGCCGTCGTCTACATCGAGGAGTTCAAGCTCTGGCAAGCCAAACGCCTTGCCCTCCTCGAGCCCGTCAAGAACATCGTGGTCGCCGACCCGCCGGAGATAACCGAGACCAGTGCTCGTAAAAGTTCAAGTACTACTTCCGGTGATATAACCAAAGCAAGACGAGAAGGTCAACCAGAGATAAGGTGGTGGCAAAATGCTTTCAGCCCGCCGGAGAGAGGCGAGGATTATACTATTCTCCAAGCACTGTTCAGTATCGACATGATTATACTGTTCTTGGCTGGCATTTGTGGGATCGGAGGGACGTTGACTGCGATTGACAATCTGGGTCAGATTGGGGCATCCTTGGGTTACCCGAAGAACAGTATAAGCACGTTCGTGTCACTGGTGAGCATTTGGAACTACCTAGGACGTGTCTTCTCAGGTTTCGTGTCTGAATATTATCTGTCCAAGTATAAATTCCCTCGTACACTCATGCTCACTCTGATACTCATAGTGGCGTGTGCGGGACATATTCTGATAGCCTTCAACGTGAAGGAAGGTCTCTACGTAGCTTCTGTGATCATTGGGTTTAGTTTTGGAGCACAATGGCCTCTGATTTTTGCTATCATATCTGAGCTATTTGGGCTAAAGTACTATTCAACTCTGTATAATTTTGGCGGGTCAGCTAGCCCGATAGGGTTGTACATTCTTAACGTGAGAATCACTGGTCATTTGTATGATAAAGAAGCTAAAAAGCAACTTGCAGCTTTAGGGTTACGAAGAGAGGAAGGCAAAGAGTTGGTTTGTGTTGGGGCAGAATGCTTCAAGATGTCATTTATAATCATCACAGCTGCAACTTTCTTTGGTGCTCTTGTATCTCTCATTTTAGTCGCCAGAACAAGGAAGTTCTATAAAGGTGACATCTATAAGCGGTTCCGTGAGGCCGCCGCTGCTGAGGAGTCTGCCGCACCTGTGACGACGGAGATGGAGACCAAAAACACAGTCATGCCGGCAGAGAACGGTAGCGCCGGGACCAGAGAAGCCAACCGCGAGAAGGAAATAGAGATGAAGGGTTAATTAGGAATAGCACATCTTGTGTAGATAGGAACGAGAAAATTAATTAATGGATGCTCGCTTCATAAGGTTGTCCGCGTTAGTGTAAAATGGTGATGAATCTTGGATTTCACAAAGAGCTGCAAAATTTTGTTATTTTCTTTTCTTTGTATCTTGCTCCATATTCTATTCAACGTGGAATAAAATATGGCAGTGATGGATTTGATAATTATTGTAATAATCTGCCATTTTTTATGCAAGTTTTCCTTAATTTGCCTTTTAACGTGACAGATAAGATCGGCAATGATGCTGGCAGCTTTGTCTAAATGAGCATTGGGTTTCTCTCTGCTTAATATTTTTTATTTAATATTATATGGATTTGGAGATTATCATATCGAGCAGCCATGAAGGAATCCAAATTTTTTGGATTTTTCTAATGAGGGCTTGCAAGTTGAAGATTGATGTTGACATATCAAGAGCTAGCATGAACCCCAGCATTCGACCCATGGATATCCACTCAATAGCGATTATTTCAAGACAAAAATTCAAATATTTAAGGTAAAATAATAATAAAATCTCTTTGAATTATATAAATGATAATCTAATCACTCAAAATATCATAGTTTCATTAAAGTATCTAGGAACTTATGTGTTTATAAATTTTAAAGTAGAAAAGACTATTTTACTTTTATTGAAAATAACAAACCCCAACCACAACTTTTACTTAAGGAATAATAACTTTTATTTTATAAATCACAAGACTTAAATAAAGAGTCACAACTTATCAAACGTAACTTTAATTATTGAAAAAAAAAGTTCTTAAAATAAAAAAATATACTCACAACTTTATTTAAGAAATAACAACTTTTACTTAAAGAATTATAAAAATTAAACAAGAAATCACAACTTATCAATGAGGATAAAATAATTTTTTTAATTTAAAATTTATTAACATAAAGGTTCCTATGGACTTTAGTGAAATTATGTTATTTTGAAGGACCATATTACTATTTATATAATTTGGGGAGATTGTACTACATTTTCCCATGAAAGAAGTGTGTTAATTTTCGTTTTCTTTTGTAAGCTGGTTGGTAGTTGATTCTGTTTGCATAGTTTTTATTTGATGGAATGAAGTTTTAAATACTTATTAAAAAAATGTAAGCTTAATATTTGAACGTTGGATATATAGAAATAAGTTATATTATTTATGATTATTGATAATGCGTCTTTGCAAATTTTATATTGTATATTTTATTTGATATATTGCCATGAAAATAACTATCACAAAATTTAAAACAAAGAAACAAACATTGTGATGTCTTAAATATTCACTCAAATTAAGTCTTCAGCGTTAATTTTTGAAATGGAATGATATTTAATTTGAATTTGTTGCAACATAAAGTTGCAGCAGTGCACCTGTATATATTATGGGAATGGCATTTAAGTCCCATAAGGGAATCAATAATAGTTATATTTTCTACATAATTATCTAAAAATAAGTTATAAATATTGATTCAATTTTCTGTTAAGATTAATTCATAATTCTTGGAGGTATGCATGAAAAGCATCTCTTGGGATAGCATAACCTCTTGAAAGGCACTTAAATTTTTTGATGGATTAATTTCATGGCTACCAATTGTAAGGATATCTTGAGAAACCAAAAAAAAAAAAACAACCATGTTTGCAATCATTTAAATAAATATTTACTCATTTCTTTTAAAAATATAAGACATTTTTTACCGAATCGCACCCTCAATAGAGTAGTTACTTACTTTTAAATTAACCCTGTCTTTTTATATTTACCCCTATTAAATATCCTATAATAAATATAAAGTCATTATTAATAAAGGTGCTTTTGAAAAAACAAAAGCAATGATTACACATCAAAAGACTAAAAATATCTTATATTTTTTAACATCCAACTTATCAAAAAATGCCTTACATTTTTTAATGGAGGAAATGTAAGTTATTTTTTAAAATTTTTTTTCAGAAACTTAGTTATTATAAATTTTCTTTTTAAGACTTTAATTTATCTTATCATTCTTCCTACGCACATTTATCCCCAGTTTTCCACCGCGTAAATCAACATTTTAATTTGTTTACTATACAACATGGACAAGGACACATATTATAGGGATGGAATGTGGATGGAATTTAATGTGGGAAGATTTTATATTTAGATATTAATTTTATTTTTTGTTTATTTTAATTTCACCATTTGGATTGATTGTTTTCAGCTATATACTTCTTCAGAGGGCACCGCAACTCATATAAAGTAGGGTTCTTATTTTATTTTTGTGGTCCAAAGATCTAAATGCTGATTAATTTGAGAGAATAAGAAATCATTTAGCTCGAAATCCCAAACCTTTGTTTTAATAAGGGACCAAAATGAAGTAATTACAATACGTAGGGGGCAAAAAGACAGATAAATTAATCTGATGTCCAGATTCCCTTAGAAAGGGCTTATCTACACCAAATTTCAAGTCAATTAATGAGTATTAATATTACGTGGAATCTGTTCAACGTTCACAGGAGCTTAATACATGTGCTTTAAGATAACTGGTGGATTTTGATCAAGCACTGATAGTTTAAAAGTTTGATTAACTTGTTAGAGATAGCACGTTACATTTCTTTTTAATTAAAAAAAGTTTTTTGACTGATCTTCGTCACGAACTCCGAGTACTCTGGGAGAAATTAATTAATTAAGCGCAAATTGATTCAAATTCAAGGTGTTTGATTTTAAGCAATGTGCGAATTATTATTATTATTTTTTTTTGCACGAGTATCTAAAGTGAAACTATTCCCTCTTCAATATTATGAGAAAATTTTTTGAAGTATCATACTAAATAAAAGAAAACATGAAAATAATGTGTGATTTTAAAGGTTATTCACTTATCACATCGAATTAAAACTGCATGTATATGTGAGGAGTCCAAGCAATCCTTGTTAGTTCATATTACTCAAAATAGCGATTATGTGCGCGCGCGCACGTTAGGGGAAACAAATGGTTAATTGGCAGATGGAATAGTTGGGCGATTTCACCTAATTAACATATCCGTTAACAATTAATAATAGCACCACAACTTTCATATAATGAAATAGCCACGTCATTATATGTGTTTTTTCATGCGGAGCGTCCAGTACCTCCATATTAAAATTAAAGTCTTTTTCATGGAGCTTTGGATGCTTGTGTCAATTTTGGGGAGCTTTTAACACCACCCAAGCTAACTTGGGTGAAACTGTGAAATGGGGCCCTTTCTAGCGAAAGATGTTCCATTTTTAGGATTCAAATTCAATAGCGGTTAATTGATGCAAGTTTCTTACCCATTAGACCAATCATTTTCTAGATATAGAGGTCGTACGTATGTCCATAAGGAGGGCTAAGTTGAATTTTGTGTTTTCCAAGGTGGTACTATTAATGCCTCTATTAAAAGGTAGAAAAGGCCTATCTCTAAATATTGAAAGATAGATTATAAATATATAATATATTTAGAAAGTATCTCATTAAATGACTTAAATTATTTTAGTGGAGCATATTATCTTTAAGCGTGTTGAATATAAAAAATATAATAACCTCCATTCACTAACAAGATCTTCATATTAATAATAAAATTTGAATTTATAACCTTGTGAATTATGAGTTAAATTCTTACAAATTAAATCAGCCTTTGTTGATAAAAAATATTTTTTTGGCAAAATAATGTTTAGTTGAGTTGGGTCTCAAGAATTCACAAATATTAAGGCATACCTCTGGATTCAAAGAGTATTTACAAATCATTCGTCAATAAAGTTTTCACATCAGCAGTATGATTTGATTTTACAATCTTGTGGATTATATATGAGCTAAATCATTACTAACTAGCAAATCTTTGTTGGTAAAGAAATATATTTTTAGATCACATCTAAAATGTCTTAGAAAATGGGATGGAGGGGGTATTAAATCAGTAATTAAAGTATCAAAATTAATTTTTTGTTTATGAAACAAATCTTATTACGAGGAGTCTGCCTTCTAAGGGATGTCATCAGTCTTTGTTTGCCGTGAAGGATGCTTTTAGTCTCATCAAAAGATTTTGTAACTGAGCTTTTTATATAATATTTTTGCGAATAGTTAACTTTCTAAATTTTATCTTCTTTTTTTTTTTTGTCATTTCAATAATCTAGAATGAATTTCACCACAATACATTTTTATATGTAAATTGAAAAATATCATTACGTGAAGAGATTAAGTGGAAAAATATTTGTATAAAAGATTAAAATAAAAAAAGTGCCATTTATTAAGTGCTAAAATGAGGTTTCAAGTCCATCAACTTATGGACTAAAACAGAAAGCAGAGAATAATAAGTTTTGAATACTTTTTTAGATATTAGGCTGAAGAATCTTTTTTTGTTTTTTTGGAGGATATGTTATGTGTTTTATTGTCCTTGATCTGCAAATATTGGTATCCTCTGAAGCACAAGGGCATATTACACCTTTAATCCGTGAAAAATTGGGCTTCTAAAATTAGCCATACTTAAATTCAAAGCCTTGGCTCAAAAACCGCTCAATGATATGCTATTATAGTTTAATTAAAAAACAAAAAACAGCGCTGTTTACTCACTTTGACAATTTTAGTTTTGGGCTTCTGTGTTAGGAATTCATTGTAGAAATAAAAAGTTTAAAGAGCCCAATGGGTATGCTAAAAATATTTTGAAATAAATTCGAATGATAAAAAAATTTGCTTTCTTGGAAAAACTTTTCAAGCCCAAATTTATATTCTACCTCCTCGTTTAATTTTACAAGTTTTCTTTTTGGTATGAACAACAAAGAATTCAGCTATAAATAATATATCAAGCCTACTAAGTTTTGTAACTCATTTATAAATGAATTTTTACTTGTTAATTACATATAGTAACTTGTTAATAATAAAATGTTTTGTATTTATAGTAGAGTAAGACTTGTAAAACAGGGATCATTAGGTCTTTTTTTTTTTTGGAAATCTTACTTTCAAATATATCCCTGAAATGCAGTGATATTTTAAATTTTTGGGATCCTTTTTTAATATTAAAACGTTATAAGTAATCTTAGATGATATTTTTGCTTCTTCTTTTTTTCATCCTTCGGTCATTGGATAGTTTTAATTTCATAGACTTTTGTTGGGGTTATTTTCTCTCTGATTGCTGGGAAAAGAATCCGGGAGAACGTCATTGACACTCCAAGAAATAATATTATTGCATTTTGGACTCAGAAAAAAATTCTTCTATCGACCCGAAGGGCTCATGTAAAATTATGTTCCAAGAAATTAAT